TAAAAAACCCTTCTACTCATGAAAGCTAATAAACTGTCTTTAGGGAATTTACTAGTTTTCTCCGTTATACCTGATTTTCCCATTATACCGCCAGCAATTCTATTTTAGGCATTAGATCGTCATAACTGTGAACATCGTGAGCTTGGCGCAGCTTGTACCGATCACGGGTTTCGTACCTCACATTTTGCCCTGTTTAAAGGTGAGTTCCACGAGCTGTTATCAACAATTTGCCTTACATCTGCAACTCTTAAGTCTTGAATATCATAATAGGTGACTATGGCCGTTCGATAGATTTGAGCCATGCCGACAATGATGAAGATATCGTAAACCCTAAGAGCGGTAATTTAATAGTGAGGCGTAACTAGTTCACAGAGTAGCGTTTTTTGCGCTGAAGTTGCTCTAGCGAAAATCATCCCTAAATAATAAGCATACACCAAGGTGTTAATTCTCTCTCGTAACCGAATTGCTCGAGCAAGAAGTGGATATGTCAAAGTCACGCGGGTCGCCAAGTCATGTGAGTCGTTAAAAGCCGGAGGTATCAAGGTTACTTCATTAGGCTTAGATCGGGTGATGTCATTGACGATTTCATCCAATGTGATCAAACTTCTAACCATTTTGGATATATAAAGGTATTTTGTTGATCTACAAATGTTTTAATCTCTTTTTCCTGTATTTTTGTTTCCTTTTTATTGCTTTGTTTTGCTCTTGACTTTAGATCGATTATCCTGAAAGCTTTTCATTATTTTGGCAATCCTTTCTATCTATTATTATTATTACTCATTGTTTTTTAGTGACGATCATAATACTCTTTTAGCAGTGCAATGTTAAATAGTGTATCTAAGACCCTTCCTTCTATAGTTCTCAACCTATACACATCCTGTTTTAGTATCTGATGGATATAAAATGGACCATCCCATTTTGGTTCCAACTTCACGCTTCTATTATACTTTTTCGATGCTCGGTACAACAAGACTTTATCACCAATGGACAGGTTAGGTAGGAAACAGGCCTTTGATCATATCGTTCTTTTTGTTTCTGTTGTGCATGTTGGATCCTTACCACAGCCTCATGGCATGTTATCAGTAAATCTTCTAACAATTGAAATGTCCTTTGTATTATTGTTCCTTCCAATAGATTATCCAAATCGATTGGCTGTCAGGCTTCCCTTCCATACATCAAATAGAACGGGGTATTTTTGGTGGTTGCATGTCTGGAGGTACGGTATGCAAACAATACCGCAGGTATAATCAGGTCACAGTCACTAACGTCATCTACTGACCTTGCGATAGATTCACACAGGGTCTTATTATAACTTTCAACCAACCCGTTGGTCTGGGGGTGATATGGTGTCGCTAATAGGCGCTTTATTCGGAACTTTTCTAGCAACTTATCAACCAGTTTATTCCTAAAGTGAGTGCCACGGTCGGATAGTAATTTCATGGGGCATCCATGCCTACATACGATATCGTTGAATATGAAATCTGCCACACTTTAAGCATTACCGGTTGAAATTACCCTCACTTCTGGCCACTTGGTCATATAATCAGTCACTACGACAATGTAACGTGAATTTTGAGGCGTAATCGGGAGTGGACCAATAATATCTATTCCACTTTATAGAAAGGTGCTATTACCGGTATTGGTTGTAAGGGTTCTTCATATTTATTCTTTCCTCTCTTTTGACAGCTTTTGCACGATTGTACGTATCTCCTTACATACTCGAACGCTTGTGGCCAGTAATACGTCTTGCGGATTTTTTTAAACATTGTTTTTGCTCCGAAGTGTCCTCCGAGTGGATAGTCATGTGTTAATAGAAGAATAGGGTCGATCTCACATCTCCGGACTACTTTCAAAGGTTGGTCTTGATTCTTCTTATTCATCCTATATAATAAAAGTTCTTTAGTAAAAATAATTTGCTATGATTAATCAATTGTTTCCTCTGTTTTTTGTCTAGGTTGTTGTCTATGTATCCTTCTTGCAAGTATCTCTTTAACTGATTATAGTCTCCTTCTTCCATCTTGAACTTCTTTTGCCAGGACACCAACCACCTGGGCTGGATTGGATTTATCGTCAGATTTAGATAGTTTATGGTATTGTATTTTTTTTTTTTTTTTTTATATATGTTTGCCTAATTTTTGCTTTCTAGTTCTATCGATTCCAGGTTAATCGGCTTTCGGTCACTTTTTTGGTTGGCAGCTCTTTTGGCCTCGATTGCTTGGATATTCAGCGGTTCCATATATCCTAGGTCAATTCCTGTATCACGTAAGTATCCTCTTCTAATTAACTCTTGTTTGGCCCCAGCAGTTATCCAATCCCTCAACTTTAACAACTTTTTGGATTTCAACGCTACTAGATTAAACCTATAGTATTTCATTAGGTAGATTGCTTTTCTACGATCCAATAATTCCAGCGCAAGATGCTCGAAATTGGCTGGGTAATAATATACTTGGTAGGTATTGCCATACGATTTACTTGGGCCCACGTATTCTAGGTTTCTTCGATAAGCAGTTCCCACCTTTTTGTATGAAATCACAGTGGTTGGTTGAGCACTTGCTTCGAATATCTCTTCGTTAAGCTGAGCCGAGTCAGCTTCTTTTTTATCCACTCGATTTTCATCCTCTTCTTCTAATTCTTGCTCATTACTCTCTTCTACAACCATATATGCTTCTGCAATTTCATCTTCTGTTCCATTTATTCAGGACAATGCATCCGCATTCCAATGTGTACTTCCTGACCTATGCTAGATCGTGTAATTATATGGTTGTAATTGG